AAAAAAAACAAAAAAAAGATAGACAAGTAAAATAAGAATCAAGATGGAAAATATTCTTAGTGGAGAAATTTTAGATGCATCCTCTACGATCTACAGCAGAAGGATGTTCACTATTGCTGCTACTGTTCAACATAGCACTGAAGGTCCCTGCCAACTTATGTGGAAGGAAAAAGAAGTGAGTGTAAGAAAAGAGATCAATCTGCCATTATTTGAAGATGATATTATCTACCTCAAACTCTATCGGGTTTTGATAGAGTCACAAAAGGAAATTATTAGAAATTTTTAAGAATCCAGTTGTATAGAACATATCCTGAATCAGTAACATTTATTTAAACTAGTAGTAACTGGGGGCGCCTGGGTGGCATAGTCAGTTAAGAATCTGATTCTTGGTTTTGGCTCAGTCATGATCTCAGGGTCATGAGATTAAGCCCTATGACAGGCTCCATGCTCAGCATAGAGTCTGCTTAGATTCCCTCTCTCTCCCTCTGCCCCTCCCTACCATGCTCTCTCTCTCCCTCTAAAATAAATACATAAATCTTAAAAAAAGAATTGTATAAATAAAAAAATAAAATAAACTAGTAATAACTAACTAGAGAATAAAATAATACATAAGGCCTTTATTAAGGGGCAATATTGCATATTGACAAGAGCAAAGAATATGGAGTTAGGCTGCTTTTGTGGCAATGAGACAATGAAAGTGACAATCTCTCAATGCCTCAGTATGTATGTAGGTATGTATTTTTTTTTTAAATTGGGGTATAGTTGACCTCAGTTTCTTCATGTATAAAATAAGGATCATAATTGTATGTATCTTATAAGATTATAAAGATTAAGTGAGTCAATATAGTCAAACCCTTATCATGGTACCTGATACATACTTAGCATTATATGAATTTTTGCCATTATTATTTTGGAGCTATTCTATTATAGCACAATAAAGATGATAAAAATAAATATTTGGTCTCTTTTATTGGATAACTACAATGATAAGATATGAATTTTCTCCCAATATATCTATGAATTCAAGGCAAACCCAATGACAATTCAAATTTTCGTTATGTTTTTAGAGAAACTCAGCAAATCTAATCTCAAATGTATGTGGTAGAAGTATAAAGAAGGGGGACTTGCTCTATTAAATATGAGGACACATTACAAAGCCACAGAACAGGAACAGTGTGATAATACAAACAGACCAGGGGACAGCCAATTTTTTCTGTAAAAGGGCCAGAGAGTAAATATTTTAGATTTTGTGAGGCCATTGGTCTTTGTTGCAACTACTCAACTGTGCTTTGTAGTGCAAAAGCAGCTGTATGTAAACAAAACACTGTGGCTGTGTGCCAATAAAATTAATTTATGGATACTGAAATTTACGTTTCATGTAGTTTTCACACATGACAAAACCTTCTTCTGTTTATTTGTTTCTACCATTAAAAATGTAACAACCAGCTTAGCTCATGGGCCATACAAATATAGATCCATCTGGTTCATCAGGTGTAGTTTGCTGATACCCAGAATGGAACGCTGATATAGACCATGTATAAATGAGAACTTAAATAGAGTTGGTTGGATGTTTTCTGTTTGCTTTTGAGATCCAGTCCCTGCCCTTCTCCACCCCACTCTATGCTTCGGCAGGTTCTTTACCCTCTAGCTGTTGGTTAGTGACATACGAAGGGGAGGTAGATGGGAGAGAGCCCACTCTTGGTACAGGCAGAAAGGGAATATATTGTCGTTAGTGAATTTTTAAAACATTAATAACACCTTTTTTCATCATCATATACTGGCAATTCTAAACAATGTCAGTGATAAAACAGTCCTCCCCATTAGTGCTGTGATTATCACCCTTATTTAGTTGGGTTTGGCTAATGGGACATCCCAGCAGGGGACTGGGGGTCAGGGGGAGACTAAAATCTGCAGCAGATTCGGGATGCTATGTACGCTACCTTGCTATTTGCACCTTAGGATTGAGCAACGATAATATCCAATAATAACAGAGGGGTCTGTGGCTGGTAGAGATACTGTATGGACCTTCTGAGAACCCCTCTGTAACAGAATCACAGCTTATATCCATAAGGTTTTGAAGATAAGCCACACCTTCCTTTGTCACGTGTAATTTCCCATCTGGAATGCAGTTCTGCCCTTGCACTGCTTAAAACTGAATAACAGACCTTGAAACATCAAACGACTATGTGCCCTGAATTGCCCATTATGAGCTAGGTGATATCTGATCCGCTGAATCATAAAACTGGATGTGTAGCAGCAGCATTCTCCTCCTAAATGGAAATGGCCTATATTGAGACTGGGTGCTATCAGGTCCAGAAAGAGCAAACAAAATATGGAAGCAGCCAATTAAGAGTTCCATGATACCTGCTCAACTGCTTTACCTATGCTCCTTCAGCCTAGAGAACTCCCTTTCCCAGTAATGGAGGACGGAAAAGCTCAGATCTGATTTATGGATAGATGTGTACTGAACGTCACCATCAGCCAGAAGTGAAAGGCTGCTACATTAAAGCCTGAAAGATATCATCAGTAAAGGGAGATCTTCCCAGCGGGCAAAACTTGGGCAATCCATATCTATGGGCAATCCATATATTCTTGTCTGGTTATTTGCCACCAAACAGCCCTGGTTGATACTCTTAGAGTCCCAACTGCCTTTTGGAATAGCCTTGAGTGCAAATAGCCTCAGCATCTGGCTTTAAGCCCCTTTCATCCTTGTCTGTTCCACGTAGGACCAGTGACTTGATTTCACGCATAATCTTTCACCCGCACAGTCAATAAAAACAGTGTGGCAGATTCTAGCAACAAGGCTTGGAGTGGCATCAAATGAAATCAGTATCTTATTTGTGTTGATTATTTTCTGTATTGGCTTTCTCTTAGCCATTAAATTACTGTCCTTTAAACATGATGCCACTATTGAGGAAGGATGTAGAGCTGTTAGAAAATGTCTATTTTTTTGCTAGAAACTAGCAGCAGGTAACAGTCACTTGCCACATTGCTGTTTTTATGCCTAGAAAACAATTCATATTTTGGTCATCTAAATCAATGTTTTCATTCCATGGAATTTTCAATCCTTTCTAGGGAGAACTTCAGGTGTCACATATTGCCAGAAAAAAAAGTTGTCTGTCACATGAACCATTAAGTAAACTGATATAAAACATAATTGATAACTTTGACCTGTCACTAATATCTGATGATTGCCTAATATACTGAATTATCTGAAATTCTTATTAAACACATTTATGTAGGATCCTGGTTTCTATTATCCATATCTGGAATGAGTATCTGAATTAGTAGTATTAGCCAGACAAGAAATGATTCCCTCTTCCTAGTAATTAAATAAATCTGTTTGCTATTAGTAGTATTTACAACTCACTTTTAAAACCATCCATCCACATACATACCACCTCCACGATCAAGCTTGTGTTCAGCAGCAAGAAATATGATATGTTTTGAAATGTGGTTTTCTTTGTTTCAACTCTCAAAATCTTATTTAAAGTAATAAGGTAAGATTCACTATAACATTTCCCAGTAAAACTTAATCCACAAAAATACAGACTCTCAGAACAATTCAGTAAGTTTTAAAAATCCCCAACCTCATTTTTTAAAAAAGATTTTATTTATTTATTTGACAGAGAGAGAGAGCACAAGTAGGCAGAGAGCAGGCAGAGGGAGAGAGAGAAGCAGGCTCCCCGCCGAGCAGGGAGCCCGATGCGGGGCTCGATCCCAGGACCCTGGGATCATGACCTGAGCCGAAGGCAGACGCTTAACCGATGGAGCCACTTGGGTGCACCCCCCAACCTCATTTTAAGACTAGGACATGGTGAGTCTGGAGAGCAGCATGAGAATGTGGGTCCAGTGCATAAACGCCCTTAAAGACAGATCTCAAATGAAAGAAAATCCTCTTTCCACCAGACTGATGTTGATGGCAGACAGAAGTCTATAAAATAACTATTTTAATTAAAAATATCAGACTGCTGTCAAAGTTTTCTAGGTCTTAACCTGTTGCTCTGATGTTCTGACATATTGCCTCCAAAACAAATAGAAGCCATGTTTAGACTCCTTAAAAATATTCATCTTTTCAGATAGGATCTGGCTGTATTACTTCTGAAATAACTAAATTGTCTAGCTCATAGTTTCTTAATTAAATTAATTAATTAATTAGTTAATTAACTATTTCAAATGAGATAGCTGATCATAATGAAAGACGAATATTAGTTTGGGTTTGGGCTTAGGTTTAGCACCATGCTATATTTAAATAAACAAGTAGGATTGATTTAGTATTTAAGAAAAGAAAAACAGGTCCACAGATAACCACATCCAAATAGCAGGAATGTAAAAGGGTAAATATTACAGGGTTCTTGCAAGTACATGGTTTATTATTCTAATATTTCAAGTGAAAACACAACGTTAGATTAAAAAAATCTGGATTATGAAGACATTAGGGAAGGAAAGAGAAGAAATGGCTAAATGAAGACAAAATATGATTTTTAAGTTTCTGATCAAATAAATAAGATAAACATTTGCATAAAAGTCAGAAAGAAGCTATATCATTGCATCACCACCAGATGAACACAGAGAAAACATTCACACAATTTTTATAAAATACTCAGGCTCTAATACTGAATTTTTGCAGAATTTCCATTGAGTTACTGCCAACCCTTAAATATTCCAAAGGTGGCTTAAGATATTTGATGAACTCAAGACATAGCCAGGTTGTGTAGTCCCTAAAATTTTGCTTCTTTATGGTTCTTATTTATATGTTTTATATGTGCAAAAATGGCATGTGCTATTTATAATACGAGTTGTTAGATATAAAATATCCAAGAGAATATACTCATTGACATTCCCTGAAGATCATAAACACAATTCCAAAACAACTATTAAAGCAGGGGTTGGCTAATCTGAGCCAATATCAAAACTAAGAAAGCCCAAATATATATGGTCTAGCAAACAGACGCTTATAAATTAGAAAGGAAAAGTAAAGAGAGATTCATTCTACTCACAGGCAGTCCCTGTTTTCCTGGTAGCCCAACTTTTCCAGAGTTTCCTGAAATGCCATCAGCTCCCTGGTATCCTTGCATGCCTTTTGGCCCAGGTAGGCCAGGAAGACCCTTGGTAGTCAAAAATTAAGTGGATTATAGAGAGATGTTGTACAAATGTTTAAATGACAAATACCTGTATATTTGGGTATATTTTTAATACCCCACCCCCGGATAAATTTTCCTGTTTCCTTAATTCTTTTTTGGATTCAACAGATCAGGTAACTAACTGTCTTTAAAAGTTCCTTAAACAGAAATGCCGAGCTAACTAAAATGTACTGTGTAAGCTTTTGAGCGTTAGTGCAATTCTCTCCTATTTTTCATTGTGCTGGCCTCTGCTCTATCCAGCTATGGAGAAAAGTCAGCTGTATCGTCACCTGTCAGTTTACGATACAGCTATACTTTACCATCAGCAAAACCTCATGTTGTGTTATTTTCTCAGGAAACAAATTATGGTCCTTTTTGTTGCCACTCCAAGCTAGATAATTATATGACTGCATAAAGGTCTGAACGTTTTGTTTCTACTCTTGGGCAAGTGCATTTTATCTGTATGAATCTCTGATCTGAATGTGTTTATAATTTATGTTCATTTTCTTTTCTTTTTTTGAACCAACGCAGGACACCCAAAGTAGGCATCTAGCTCTTGGCTACGGAAGCCCAGCGGGAAGTAAGTCTTTGCTAATAAGCCAGTCAACACATATTTGCTTGGCTAGAGGAAACTGATGGCTAAGGTAAAATTAATCTTTGTTCTGCGATGAAATGATTTAAAACATTTTCTTCTAAGACTTTCTGTTCTACTTGCCAGGAAACTGAGAGGATGTGTCCTTCAATTACAATCCAGCTCATGCTTTTTGTTCATGCTTGAGGATCTCTGACCTTTGTCACCAATCATTTAGTCATATTTCAAGTTCCCTGTTTTCAGTCAGGATCAGAGAGTAAGATGAGTCCACAGAGAGAGCTCCGTAACAATGGAAAATAGCATCCTTCAATTGCAGGGACTTATATTTAAACAGCAATCTTGGTTTTGAGCTAATGGTCATATTTTGTTCCCTGTGTTCCAGCTCGAGCTTAAATTTTTTTTTTGAAGACAAGCTGATTTATCCAACACTTGTCATAATTGGCCCCAAACTGTTCTGCTTGCTGAAGCTGCCAATTCTATTTAGAAAAACAAGAAAGATGAAAAGGGCCTGCTACTTACAGGAATCCCAGGTTTCCCAGAAGGACCAGGAGCTCCTTTTTTCCCCCTAGGGCCCTAAAAATGTGAAGCACAGTTGTCACTTAATTGTAATAAACCTAACTAAGCTGACGGCATAGAAAAGAACCCTGAGATGGGGATGCTGCTGCCAGGCCTGCCTAGTCCTGGCTAACTGTACATCACCGAGATCTCCGTTTAACCTCCCCGGGAGCCATTTTCTTTATATGAAAATGGGAGAATTTGACCAGATAATTTATGAATTTCTATCTAGCTCCAAATTCTAGGATTTAAGAATTTAAATCTTGGCTCTAAAAGGGAATTAAATATTAGTTAATAAATGTCCATGTTTTCAGACAGGGCCTTTGTCTTCCTATTGGAAGTGGCTAAGTGCTTCACTAATCTCATAAACATTTATTGACTATTTTGTATGTGCTGGGGATGCAAAGTCAAAGTTACTGATCTCAAGGCACTCACAGTGTAGTAAGGGACATGAATCAATAGCCTAAAATGTGCTTATCTGGAAGCATGGAGAAGAACATACTTGTGAATCAAAGAAAAGATATTTATTTCCCACGGAACTCTTTGTTTTTCCATGTGTGAGATGTTTTAAATCATAATTGATTCAGCAGTAACTGGTCTGCCAGAATAGTTAGGAACTTTGCCCTTTGCGAATCATGCCATTATTCTGATGATATCCTAAAATTATTTTAAAAAGAAAAAGGTGGAAAAGAGTGACCTAGTTCACAAATAAGAAAAAGAGGCCTATTGTCATTACCAGACACATTTCTCAGAAGTCATCGGAAGTTCTCACAAACGGAATAATTCCACCAAAATGGGATGTTACGTTATTCAAATTTGAAGATAAATTGTGCCAAAGATTCAAACTGACAACAATAACAAAGTAAATAAGTTCATAACATACTACATCCTCTGAAAATGATCTTAACATTTCAAGAAGAAATAGTATATGCAGTCATAGAAAAAAAGGGTATTTTCTGTAAGAGATAAAAATCCAACTTTGTTAGAATTTGATAGTGGGGAGATATATGAACTAAGAGTTCTACCTCCAGCTTGGAAAACTATTTTACTCGCCTTAAAAAGTCACTAATGTAAGGTCCTTCTAAGGGTAAGGAAACCAGGAAATGAAACAGTAGATGATTTGACTTTAGTTGAAGAAGATGCAATTCCTGGAATAATATGATCTCTAAAATACAATATATCTTTTAGGACAAAATAAGGAAGTAAAATAAACAAATAAGATTTTAAATACTGAAAAAATTGTGATTTCAGTTATCTCTAATATCACTAATTAAATAGTATATGAACTGTGATAATATTCAAATATGTTAACCAGAGTGTTTTTTTCCTTTACAGTATTTTTTTTTATGCAAAGTGATAGATCTGTTCTAGATTTTAGATTTTCAAAACAGACTTTTCCTTAGCTTATGAATTTCAAAATAGTCCTCTGAAACTCATGCTGGAGTAATAATTTGAGAAGGATATAATATTTTGGGAAGAATATATTTTTAAATGCAAAAGCCTGATTTCTAAATATTTAAAGCCTATCTTTGAGTATCAAAAACCAAGGTGACAAAGAATTCAAATCATGCATTTTGCCATAAAGAAGAGATTTAGAATTATAATAGTATAAGAGAAAATTTTTCTTATTTAAGGGGATATAAAGATGTTCAAGTTGGAGAAAGGTAAGAAGACAAGTAAAAGAGAAGCAAGACTGTTCAACCCTGACAGGGATCTCTGAGAAGGGCCCTTTACACCTCACTCTGCCCTCAAGTCCTAGCTTGGGTAGAAGCAATACCCTCAGATAAGTGTGGGGATTTGGGCACAGAGACAATGGCTAGGGAGACTAAAGTCTTCATTTAGAGGCCCACATAAACTACACTGAGTGTCAGCAATAGAGTAGAAATTTCTGTAGGAGATGTCTAGGCCAGTGGGCTTGAGAAAGTCTGAGTCCCGCAAGCACCAGCATGGTATAGGAATTAGAATGTATTTCCACGTGGCCAAGAACAGAAGCATATAGGAGTAAGGGCCTATATAAGAAGACTTTGTACCTTTTCTATACTCAGAAAATAGCTGTACATGGTCAGCAAGGTAGGGCCTTGGTAGATGTCAACATGGTGGGATCATAAGCAACTGGGAATCTACATGGATAATATGCATTTCAGTGTATACTATTGTAAATAGATGACCTAAGACCAAACTCACCTTCCATTCCTCTTCCCCACCACTGCTACCCAGAATGTAACTGCAAACTTGACAAGAGAGTGAATAGGGAAAACTCTAAATCAAATGTAGGATATTTGTGTGGATGGAGTAAAAGGCACTCAACTGATTAGATTTCCACCAATTAGGTTTCTACCACCAGGAAGGATGGGTACTCAGGACAGATGTTAAGTTCCATTATAAAGAACACAAAAAACAAAGTTTTATTTTTAGTATACCTGAGTCTATGTCTTATGGTTCAGACATACTACACATGTAAGTAAGGGTTTTACTCCAAATGTTCATATAACAAAATAAAAACAAAGAGATTCACATATCATCACAGATTGATTACATTTTGGGATGACCATTATGTTGGGGATTATTTCAGAAAAGTTAAATGTTGTGTACTGAAATCTACATGTATGGGTCTATTATCATGAAGATTAGAATGGTATTCAGACTTGGATGGGCATCAGGAAGCAGCTCCCAATAGAATAACATGAAAAGGAAAGTATGACTATGAAGTATTTTTTGCTACTTGTAATAGGACAATTGTGGCAAAATCTGTCTATTGAAGACAAAAAGTGTTTAGCAAATAACAAAACTATAGTCTCTGCTGTTTTGAGATGTTCGATTCAGGAAATATATCTTTATTACAGTTATTATCATCATACTAAAAGGAAGTAGGCCAGCTAGAAAAAAAACATAGTCTCACAATTGAGATTTTAAATGTATAACAAGATCAACAGGGGCGCCTCAGTCCTTAAGCGTCTGCCTTCAGCTCAGGTCATGATCCCAGGGTTCTGGTATCAAGCCCCACATTGGGCTCCCTGCTCAGCAGGAAACCTGCTTCTCCCTCTCCTACTTCCCCTGCTTGTGTTCCCTCTCTCTCTGTCAAATAATAAATAAATAAAAATCTTAAAAAAAAATAAAGATCAACAAAGTGTAGAACATTGATAGAAGGTAGTCTAATTCTTTCGATAATGGACATTTTAAAATGTGTCATTATAGTCCAAACCCTTGTTTGCTTTTTATTTAAATGAAACTGAAAAACAGATACCTCAATACTTTGCTAGTTCTAACTTTGTTAGAGAGGATAGCTTTACAATATAAACATAGATTTAGAGTTAGGCAATAATTACTCTTTTTCTCTTCTTTTTTTTAAACCAAGAAATTTCAATTCACTAAAATCTGGAATTTTGTTTTGGAAGAAAAATAAGATTTTGGCTTGAGTTTTAGTCTTTGAAAGCCATTATAGGACAAATTCACTACATTTGAATTTAAAAAGTCTTTGAAAATGTAGTGGTTGTGCAATCGGCTTGATTTGCTCTTTTTCTCTATGGTTGCCCACTGTCTCATGCATGAGAGCCCAATGAATAAGTTAGTTGGTTAAGTAAGATTAATCATATTTTACTTAATTTATAAAAGATCTCAAGTAATAGAAGACTTTTGTATAACATTGAGAGTCAGGAAATTTCTAGTGTTGGTTCTGTTGTTAACTAATTCTGTGATCTTAGGTAACTCTCTAAAATTTAAATTTCTTCATCTGAAAAATGAGAGGGTGGTCCAGATGATTTTAAAGGTTCATTTGCAAACCTAAAAAACTTTGCAGCTTTGCAAAAACAAGATGACAATAATTGGACAAGATCCACCTGGCCACTGAAGGTGTCCCTACTGAATAATACATGGTCAATGATTATTCTTGTAGCAATTATGACTATTTTAAATTCTAAGAGGGTTTTTAATGTAACCTTGAACTGTATGCCAGCATTGCCCAAAGCAGGATAGAACTAATTCCCTTGGATTATACAGAATTTAAACCATGGTTTCTCAGCATCTTTTGGCTCTAATACACAGGGAGAGTTGAGCATGGCAGCTGGAAATGTAGCTGTCTGGTAAGAATATTTGAATTTCATTGACATAATTTTAATAGATAGTAATAAATACTTTAAAAATTTCTTCTTCCTGACATATGTCAAAAAAGAAGAAGAAAATACTGAGAATATGAAAGTATTGATTGTAAGAGATTAGAAATTTTAGGATCAAACCTTGGGAGAGCATTTGCATCCTTAGGCACTTAATGCAAATATAAGGAAATCAAATGAAAACAGTAGTAGTGTTCTAGGTTCATAGCTTTTTCCACTATTTTTTCCAATTTGGGTATTAAAAATTGTAAGTAAATGGGACAATTACCTTCTCTCTCTGCATTTTTTCTTGTTAAGACTTGCCTTCAATGGATTACTTTTATTTTTTATTTATTAGTTCTTATTTATTAAGGAACCTGACAAGGAGTTACTAGGTAGATGTCAAGACTATTCAAAATGGCTGTAGGTGAGTGAGCACCTATGTAATATCAGATTCAACCCAATTTTACTACTTATTCCTGCAAGTAGGAAACACAAAGTATGGATGAAGACTTAACAAATTAGGAGAAATGTGGTCTCAAATTGATTACTTTTTATCCATTCTCACCTAATTTATTATTAAAATACATGTGTTTTCTTAAGAATTTAATTTAAAATCAATAGCAGGTGAAATCAGAATGCTATGAAAAGCAAGGTAGCAATGAACTGATGGTACAAATTACAAAGCAAGTTATAAGGCAACAACCTTCCATAAGGTTGAGGCAACATCAGTGCATAGGGAAAGAGATGTCTAAATTCAATAGCTAATACATTTGTAGTTTATTTGATAACAGATAATTGGCTTGTCTTATGGAAAAAAATATTTTAAACCAATTGTGAGTCTGTGTCACATAGTCAAACTATTTCTACCCTTATCCTTACTACAATGAAATAGGTTTCACTGATAGGTTTTCACTTTTCAACATTGGTTTTAAGGCTTATTTATATTTTTGCTTGAAACCCCTAGGAGAGACCATTCGTTTTGGACAACTTTAGGCGATTTTCACAAAGCCAGAAAAGGCTGCTGGTAAAGGGAAATTGGGATGGCAGTCAAAACACATGAAATAATCAATAATCATGTTTTAGCACAATTATTGACAAACACTCTGATTAGAGGCCTACAGTGATCCTTGCTCTGGAAGTGTGAATGATCATTTAAATTACAATGAACAGTAGCTCCTATGTTCTTGCCTTCTCAAACAAACAATAAGTATCAAATTGTCTTAAATAATTTCAACTTACTTCAGATCCTCTCTCTCCTTTTAGTCCTCCTTCACCCTGGTCACCTGGCTCACCCTTTAGTAGGAAACCAAACAGAAATCATGTATGAAGCAGAGACCAAATAAGATATATAAACATTAATTTTTTTCAATGCCAGAATTACAAAGAGTGTTTTCAAAACATACTGGGGGCCCTTGTTGTCCAGCAGCACCTCTTGGTCCTGGTAAACCCACATGACCCTAGGAATAGAAAAGATTATATTATTAGAATAAATAGAGACATGTAATTTAGAGAATAGGGTAGTATCACTTAAAATGGTAGCAAAATGTTACAAAATGCAACTTAAACATCAGGAATTATGATTCTCTGAAATGTTATAGAACATAGTATCTATTGGATATGATGATAACTGAGAAAGAGTGTCAAGTTTTGCTTTGTTTTGCACATAGGTTAATGTAGTGGGGTGAATGGTGGCCCACCAAAAGATGTCTATGTCTTAATCCCCAGAACCTGTGAATATGATTTCATTTGGAAAAATGGTCTTTGCAGATATCATTGAGTTAATGATTTTAAAAAGATATTATCCTGAATTGTCTATGACAAGTACCCTTAAAAGAGAGAGACACACACAAACAACAAAGGAGAGGGCCATGTAAAGACAGAGGCAGACACTGGAGTGATGTAGCCACAACGAGCACTGTCAGCCACCAGAAGCCAGAATAGTAAAGGGAGGATTCTCCTCTAGAGCCTGTGGGAGGGAAGATGGTCTACTAACACCTCAATTTCAGATTCCTGGTATCTGGAACTATGAGAGAATAAATTTCTATTGTTTTTGTTGTTGTTGTTGTTTTTATTTATTTATTTATTTATTTATTTATTATGTTATGTTAATCATACATTACATCATTAATTTTTGATGTAGTGTTCCATGATTCATTGTTTGCATATAACACCCAGTGTTTTAAACCACCCAGTTTACAGTAATTTGGTCAGGAAACTAGTACAGTAAATAACCAGAGGAATAGAGAGTTTGAGAACAAATTTCTTGCTTCAACCTATTCCCACTGTGGAAGTGAACTATGATCTCCATTTTTACAAACTAAGTTCATACCATTTGGATAGATTTATTGAGTTGAAAACTGGAAGTTGTTACTCTATATAATGCCAAGGCACATCAAGTGACTTTGATATTCAGCCATCTGTCATTACCCTAGTCCTCCTAAGAAGGAATGCTGACCTACCACATTTCCCTTTTCAAGTGTGTAAATACAAACTAGCAACAACCCAAAGGCATGTCAGGGTATGCATGCATGTCAGGGTATGCATGAAAAATTCTGCATGTAATCTCTTTTATCCCCTTCCCTACTGTCCTCTTTGTTTCAGATTATTTCTTCCTACTCTCTGTGGATTACAGAAAGAATGCCATAGGCTCATCTGTTTTCCTGGACTAGGAGAAGCGAGGATTGCCTACATAGGCTAACGAATTTATCTCATAGAAAGATCAGTTGAAGCCTTCTTTGTTTGTATTCGTTGAGGCAACTGTTTATGGTTTTAAGATCCAACTTCCTGATTAAAAGAAAAAAAAAAAGGAATCCTGTTTAAGAGAATGAACAGTGGCAAGAGGGAAAGGCTAGTTTGGAAAGCTTTCTATAGAACGTGGCCATAACTAAAGAGAATACCATGGCCTTACCTGACCAGAATCAGGTCAGTCAAGAGGAAGTTTGGTACAAGTAAATATGATGATTATAGGTCATTTATTAAGCAGAACTCAGGAGAGAAGTGATTGGTGAAAACCTGGAGTTACAAAGTGCAGTGAGACCGAGCATACAAGCAAACTATAAACTCAAAACCATGAATGGCCAATTGTGATTTTGCTACCATTTTTGTCTGTAGTTTACAGGGACCCTTTTAGAATGATCACAGAATAGCTTCTCTTGGTTTTGTGAAGTCTGGATACAAATCTCACTAAAAACAAACATGCTTTCTAGGAGTTTCACTATAATTCCTCTGGTTCTTTCTATTACAATAAAAATTGACAAAGGCCATTTTTCTGCAGTGTTAAAAATTAAATATGCTGTAGTAAATATTATTATGAAGTCATGTAGGCAAGGTTATGGGAAATGACTGACTTTGCCTAATGATATTAGTGGTGGGATGTGCTAAATGGCCAAGAGGAGCTAGATGGTCAAGGATTTTATAAGGGAAGTGATGATAAGCTGAATCTTGAAGGATGAGAGTTCCAGGTAGGAAAGTAAAAAGAAGACATTCTGGCAGAGGAGATAGCATGGGGGAATAAATGGAGATTCATCTGACAGAACATGTTAAGAAGAGAATGGATTTGAGAGGGCTATCACTGGGGATAGGGAGTCTACTTAGGAAGTTATTAAAGTAATTCAGACAAAAATGATGAAACCTAAACTAAAGTAGGGCAAAGTGGCTAGATAGCAGAGCTATCTGAGGTCGAAAGAAGTGGCCAAATGGATTTGAGAGATGAGAGGAGAGAGAAAGGAGTGAGAGGAGGGAAAGGATGAGAGAGACAAAGAGACAGAAAGAAACACAGGGAGAGCAATAGACACATACAGAGAAAAAGAGACACACAGAGAGAGCAATAGAGAGAGACACAGACCTAGACAGACAGAGAGAGAGGGATGATTCATTTATTGGCTTGAACACCTTAATGTCTGATGGTAGCATTCACTGAATTGGGGACATAGAAAGAAGAGGATCAGATTTGGGGAGGATGATGGAACTGTTGTATAGGACATACTGAGGTAGAGGTGCCTGTGATGATATCCAATAGCAATTTGGATATGCATGCCTGACGCTAAAGAGTGATGACAACTGAGGATTTAAACATTGTTCTTTTATTGTGTGCAAAGATGTTATGGACTTTGCCAAACCAAAGTGGAATGGAGTTTAAGCTAGAACATAAGTTATTCAATGTACTTCTAGGATTCATCTCACACAAGTTTAGTCTGACTTCATCTTGGGTATGTGTATGTTTCTGCCCATAGCTTTAAAAAGCCGATGTTGACAGTATAATATGCTTATTCCCACTATGTACTCTGGCTTTCTCAAGCCTCAGATGAATTTATCTTGACCTATAGAATGTATAGCTTTCTGGATGACAGCTATAATTTACTATATCTGTTTTTATACTGATTAAATGTTCTTATTCTATATGTCTTCTGCATGTGATGTCCACAGAGGTAAGGACTGTGCCTGGGGTGTCCAGTATTAAATTCATGGCACCTAGTTCTGCTCCTGGCCCATGGCAGACATTCAAAAATATGAGAGACCAGAGATTTTGTTATGCATGATACATAAGATCTGTCATGTATAATAATGCCTAATGAGTATTTACTGATGACAATGAGCAAGACACATGACTTTTATAATTCAAAAGGAAAAAAGACCAAAGGATGGTGAAAAAGATTTTTAAAAATTTCTAATTGTTCATAGCCAAATGGAAACAAAATCTGCATTATCCATTCCAGTTTTAAAAAGGATTTATTTATTTATTTGAGAGAGAGAGAGGGAAAGAGAGTGTATGTCTGCACCCCAGTGGGGAGAGGGGCAAGGGGAAAGAATCTTCAAGCAGACTCCCTGCTGAACGCAAAGCTCAATGTGGGGCTCTATCTCATGACCCTGATATCATGACCTGAGCCGAACCAAGAGTGGGACACTTACCTGAGCCACCCAGGCACCCCCATTCCATTTTTTTTTATCCAGTAGGATAACCTTGAGTTCACCACAATTGTAAGAATATTTGTGAATATAAAAATGTTTTTAAAAAGGTTGGTGATTATTCAGCCATAAAAAGGAACGAAGTACTAATACATTCTACATTGATGAACTTTGAAAACATTATGTTGAATGAAATGAAGCCAGACACAAAAAGCTATACATTGTATGATTCCATTTATATGAAATATCCAGGATAGATAAATCAATAGAGATATAAAGCAGAGTAATGGTTGCCAAAGGCTGGGAGAAATACAGAGTGACTACTTAATGGGTATGGTGCTTCCTTTTGTGGATGAAAATGTTCTAAAACTATGTAGTGTGTGATAGTTTTCAATATTGAGAATGTACTAAAAATCTCTGAATTGTACACTTTAAAATGGTTAAAATGGGGGTGCCTGGGTGGCTCAGTCTGTTAAGGATCTGCCTTCAGCCCAGGTCATGATCTCAGGGTCCTTGGGATCAAGCCCCATGTTGTCAGGCTCCCTGCTCAGCGGGGAGCCTGCTTCTCCCTCTCCCTCTACCCCTCCCCCCACTTGTGCTCTCTCTCTCTCTCAAATAAATAAAATCTTAAAAAAATAAAATAAAATGGTTAAAATGTATATTTTATATTATGTGTATTTTTTTTAAAGATTTTATTTATTTGAGAGCGAGAGAGAGCACAAGCAGGGGGAGCAGGCAGAGGGAGAAGCGGGCTCCCTGCTCTACGGGACTCGATCCCAGGACCCTGGGATCATGATCTGAGCCGAAGGCAGAGGCTTAACCGACTGAGCCATCCAGGCGACCCTATTATGTGTATTTTAGCACAATAAAAAAGAAGGCTTGATGATAATGCTAACCCTCATTTTACTAGAGTGAAAGAATAGTATATACATTTTAAAATTACAGAAAAGCAAACATTTAAAAATTTCACCTGAGGCTACAACAGAATAACTCTAAATAAAGCATGGTTCCCCTGCATGAATCAAACTTGTGCTTGGGAAAACTTGGCAGGGGACAAGTGTGGATATTTCATGGCTCTCAGATGTCTAAGCAATAAAATTATTGTGGCTGTCTGGCTTAAGATGGCTTGTTTAGAATAAAACCAGCAGCAAATGAAAAAATGACCTCTAAAACCTATAGGTTAGGCAAAGGATAGAATAAGACAGAAAGGAAGATGTGGATCAAATTAATTCATGAATTATCCACAAGTGAAAACTTCACCAAGAGTATTTGTGGAATGAGGAAGGAGAAATAGATTCCACAGTAGGCCCAGGAAGAAGTTCTCAGATGAAGGATTTCTGAATAAGGTGTGACTATCCAGAATAAGGCAGGCAGGGTTTTTCTTCTGCTAGCCAGGTGAAGAGATTCTTTTCTTCTTCCAAAAAAAATAGTTACCTGTTTGTTTGGCAGTAAATTTGCTGGTTTAGCTACCAAATGTTTTGTAGTTGGTAGAGGCCAAAAGAAGATAGTGCAAGAACCTGATTTTCCTGAGAATGTTTGAAGTTATGCACAGCAGAAACGAAGTTTTAGATGCTTCTCAAATTATTCTGGAAGCAGTGGGTTGGCTTCTCAACACAAAGAAAACCTAATTTCAAGTAAATACACTGGCTTCCTTGGATTAAGAAACACTTATAGATACAAACTGTTATATAAATTTGAAATAGAATATATATATATGACATCCTAAAAATGTTTCTCCAAAAATAGAAGAAATGCAAGATGGCCACCACAACAATTTCACAAACATTTACAGCTACCTTCAACATTTGCTTCAAAGAGAATTTTAGGAAGTGAAAGTTGATTTTTCAGATTTTGGCCTTGAGAAAATGAATTTATTAATGATAATTATCTACCTACCAGCTTGTTCATTCAATCTGGCTATGTAAATCTTCATTTCAGATATGATTACTGAAATTTTATATGAGAGGGGTATATTGGATCAAATTACCCATCAATTCATTATTAAAAATGAATTATGTTTATATGCATATTATATGCTATTATATACAAAGCTCAGAACAAAACATTGTAGAAGACAGAAATCATATTCAAATTGGAGAGCTAAGGTATCTACACATTAAAAATAATTAGCAAAAATATCAGCAACAGAAGATGGTAAAATATTTCTGTTGAATGATTTTTATAAATAATAAATATTATAGGACTACAGAATAGGGAAAGATTCCTGTTTGGGTGAGTTGGGAAAAAAGAAGTTTGAACTAAATTATAAAATATAGATAGGATTTATGTAAATAAAGAGTAGATAATACTGTGAGTAAGCACAGAATGTTGTGAGCAAAGGAAGGACATAGAAACTATAGGAAGAGAACTAGCAGATGACCATTTTGTTTCACTATTGACACTGTAAACAGGAAGAGAAGAGAGATGAGGCAAGAATACAGAACATCCTTAACAGAAATGTGCTAATAAAAAAATGACACAGAATAAATTCTACACTTAGTCTAATATAATTTTGGCTGATGAAGTTGGTCTCATAAAATACTTCTAAGAATGGAAGAGGACAAGAATTGACAGAAGGCTTGAAAGTATGACATTCATCCACCCACTTGACAACTCTTTATTGAATTCCTACTATACACCAGGAACATTATGTTCTAGAAATTGGGGATATAATGATGAGAAAGCCAGACAAGAGTCTTATTTTCATGGATCTTACTTTTTGGTAGGGAAAAATAGACTAAACAAAAAAACCCCACAAATGTATAAAAAAAAGAGGTAAGATAAAAGAGATAGCATTAAATATGATATAAAGAGATGGATAGAAAGGGCAGTTAGAGAAGGTCTTTCAGGAAGTAACATTTTAGCTGAGATCTTAATGATGAGAAAAAAGCAGCAATGGGAGAAGACAAAGATGATTCTAGAAAGAAGGAACAGAAAGTACAAAGAGCTAGGCTTGTTCCAGGATCAAAACCACAAGACATTACTAATAACTCAGTGATGCTTCTTCTTCTTTTTTTTTTTTTTAAGATTTTATTATTTATTTGAGAGAACAAGAAAGACAGAGAGAGAGAGAGAGACAGAGCATGAGAGGGGGAGGGGCAGAGGGAGAGGAGAAAGCAGACTTCCCACTGAGCTGGGAACCTGACTAGGGGCTTGATCCCCTGACACTGAGATCCTGACCTGAGCCGAAGTCAGACACTTAACCGACTGAGCCACCCAGGCATCCCAGTGATGCTTATTTTCATTTGAAACTGAGAAAAATCACAGAGAACACTAATTCAATGTAGAAGCAAGGTGTGAAATTTGCTGTATTTACCTTATAGCCCTCTGCTCCAGGCTCTCCTCTCTCTCCTTGTTCCCCAACTGGACCCTGCAGAGACCACGTGCAAAAATAATCAATTTCACAGTTGGATCTAAGTATTTGTGAATGAAGATAACAGTTAGTGTGGAATATTTTTTTCTAAAAATATGAAACCAAATGTATAACAATTTGCTTAGTTCCACTAAATAATTTCAAAAGATTGAATTTCAATAAAAACAAGAACATCATAAGCATGGAATTATTTAAAGAGAATCTCATAATGATTCTGCAAGAAAAAATATTGAAGAAATGAAGTCCACTTAAACAATATAAATTTTCAGATGTATAAAATATGTTAGGCATGTTGGCAAAATAACTTGCATTTTTACTTAATGTTAAAATGATAAAGATTTAATTGACTCATTCATTAATTAGAAGACTATATTTAATAATCTTTTTATTGATTTATTTTTATTTTTTTGAAGTTCAGTTGACATACAATATTATATTAGTTTTAGGCATACAACATAATGATTCGACATTTATGCACATTATGAAAGGATCACCAGAATAAGCCTGGTCACCATCTGTCACCATATGTAGCTATTATAATATTATTGACTGTACTCACTATGCTATACTTTACATCCCCATGACTTATTTATTTTATAACTGGAAGTTTGTAACTCTTAATCCCCTTCACCTATTTCATCCATCTCCCTACACCGTCCTCTCTGGACAGTTTGTTCTGTGATTTATAAGTCTGTTTATGTTTTGTTTTGTTTGCTTTGTTTTTTAGACTCCACATATAAGTAAAATCATACAGTATTTTCTTTCTTTAACTTATTTCACTTAGCATAGTGCCCTGTAGGTGCACCTATGTTGTCACAAATGGCAAGATTTCACTCCTTTTTATGGCTGAGTAGTATCACATTGTGTGTGTGTGTGTGTGTGTATACACATACTACATCTTCTTTACCCATTCATCTATCAGTAAACACTTAGGTTGTTTCCATATCTTGGCTCTTGTAAGTAATGCTGCAATGAACATATGGGTGCATGTCTCTTTTCAAATTATGTTTTTCATTTCCTTCAGGTAAATACCCATAAGTCGAATAGCTGGATCATACAGTATTTCTATTTTTAATTTTTTGAGGACTCTCCATACCGTTTTAAATAGTGGCTACACCAATTTACATTCCCACCAACAGTTCATGAAGGTGGGAATTTTTTCCACATACTTGCCAACATTTATTTCTTGTTTGTTTGTTTGTTTTACACTAGTCATTCTGACAGCTGTGAGATGAAATCTCATTGTGATTTTGATTTGTATTTCCCTGATTAGTGATGTTGAGCATCTTTTCATGTGTCAGTTGGCCTTTTCTAAGTCTTCTTTGGAAAAATACCTACTCAGGTCCTCTACCCATTTTTAAAAAATCAGATTGTTTTATTTGTGTTGAGTTGTAGGAGTGCTTTATATATTTTGGATAATAATCCCTTATTGGAGATATCATTTGCAAGTATACCCTCCAATTTAGAAGGTTGCCTTTTTGTTTTTTTGAAAAAACATTTTAGTTTGATGTAATCCCAATTGTTTATTTTTGCTTTTGTTGCCTTTGCCTGAGGAGACAGATCCAAAAAAATATCTCTAAGACTGATGTGCAAGAGTTTACACCTGTTTTCTTTTGGAAGTTTTATGATTTCTGGTCTTACATTTAGGCCTTTACTTCATTTTATTTTTGCATGTAGTGGGAAAAAAGTAGTCCAGTTTCATTCTTTTGCATGCAGCTGTCCAGTTTCTCCAACATTATTTATTGAAAAGACTATCCTTTCCCCACTGTATATTCTTGCCTCTTTTGTCATAGATCAATTGTCATAGAAGTGTGTGTTTATTTCTGGGCTCTCTATTCTGTTCCATTGATCTATATATTTATTTTTGTGCCAGTACCATACTGTTTGATAACCATAGCTTTATAGTACAGTTTGAATCAGGCAGCATGATACCTGAAGTTTGCTCTTCTTTTTCAAGATTCTTTTGGCTATTTAGGGTCTTGTCATTCCATACGAGTTTTAAGATCATTTGCTCTAGTTCTGTGAAAAACCCTATTGGAATTTTGCTAGGAATTGTATTAAATCTATAGGCTGCTTTGGATAGTATGAACATCTTAACAATATTATTTCTTCCAACTCATGAACATGGTATATATTTCCATTTATTTTTGTCATCTTCAGTTCTTTCATCAATGTCTTATAGTTTTCAGAATACAAGTATTTCATCTCCTTGGTTAAAATTATTTCTAGAGATTTCATGATTTTCAATTCAATTGTAAATGATTGTTTTCTAAATTTCTCCTGATAGTTTGTTACTATTGTATAGAAATGCAACATTTCTACATATTAATTTTGTATCCTGAAACTTTACTCAATTTAGTAGTTGTAATAGCTTTTTGGTGAAATCTTTATTTTCCATTTATAGTATAATGTCATCTGCAAATATTGACAGTTTTATTTCTGTCTTACCAATGTGGATGCCTTTTCTTTCTTTTTCTTCTCTCATTGCTATGGCTAGGATTTCTAGTAATATGTTGAATAAGAGTGGTTAGAGTAGGCACCTTTCTATTTTTCCTGATCTTAGAGGAAAAGCTTCAGCTTACACCATTGAGTATGATGTTAGTTGTAGCTTTGTCATATATGGCCTATCTTATAGAGGTTTTTATTGAGAGTTTTCATCATAAGTGGATGTTGAATTTCATCAAATGCTTTTTCTGCATCTATTGAGAAGATCATATGATTTTTATCCTTCATTTTGTTTTTGTTTTTTTAAAGATTTTTATTTGACAGAGAGAGAGAGCTCAAGGATTGGGAGCAGCAGAGGCAGAAGGAGAAGCAGGCTCTCCGCTGAGCAGGGAGCCCAATGTGGGGCTTGATACCAGGACTCTGGGATCATGACCTGAGCTAAAGGCAGATGCTGAACTGACTGAGCCATCCAGGCACCCCATCCTCATTTTGTTAATGTGTGTATCAAGTTGATTGATTTGAAATACTGAACTATCCTTGCATTCCTGGAATAAATCTTACTTGATCGTGGTATATGATCCTTTTAATGTATTGCTGAATTCTGTTTGCTAATATTTTGTCGAGGATTTTTGCACCTATGTTCTTGCATGTATATTCTATGTTCATCTATGATATTGGCCTGTGATTTTCTTTTCTTTTTTTTTTTTTTTGTACTGCCTTTATCTGGTTTTGGTATCAGGATAATGTTAGCCTCATAGAATGAATTTGAAAGCATTCTTCCTCTAATTATTTTTTGAGTAGTTTGAGAAGTATAGGTATTAATGCCTCTTTAAATGTTTGGTAGAATTCACCTGTGAAACTGTCTGGTCCTGGACTTTGGTTTATTGGGAGTTTTTTGATTACTGATTCATTTTTATTACCAGTAATCAGCCTGTTCAAATTTCTATTCCTTCCTGATTCAGTCTTAGAAGATTATACATGTTTAGGAATTTATCCATTTCTTCTAGGTTGTCCAATTTATTGGCATATAACTATTTGTAGTAGACTGGGAGATGCTGTTTTTATTTTCATTTGTCTTCAGGTATTTTTTGATTTCCTCTTTAATTCTTCATTAACCCCTTGTTTGGTTAGTAGCATGTTGTTTAGCTTCCTTGTACTTGTGGGTTTTTTTTCCAGTTTTTTTTTCTTGGTATTTATTTCTAGTTTTATACTATTATAATCAGAAAAGATGCTTGATATTATTTCAGCCTTCTTAAATTTATTAAGACTTGCTTTGTGGCCCAACATGTGATCTAACCTAGAGAATGTTCCATGTGCACTTAAGAAGAATGAGTGTTCTGCTGTTTTTGAATGTTCTGTATATATCCATTAGGTCCCTCTGGTCTATGTGTTGTTTAAGGCTACTATTTTCTTTCTGGATGATCCATCCATAGATGTAAGTGCCCTACTTTATTGTATTACTGTTGATTTCTCCCTTTATGTCTGTTAATATTTGCTTTATAAATTTAGGTGCTCCTAAGTTGGTTGCATAGATATTTACAATTGTTATATCCTCTAGTTGAATTGATCCTTTTATCATTACATAATGCCCTTCCTAATGTCTTGTTACAGTCTTTGTTTCAATGTCAATTTTATCTGATATGAGTATGCTACCCAGGTTTTTTTCATTTCCATTTGAATGGAATATTTTCTTTTCCATCCTTTCACTTTCAATCCATGTGTGTCTTTAGGTATGAAGTGAATCTCTTGTAGGCAGCACATAGATGGGTCTTGTTTTTCTTATCTACTCAGTCACCTTGTGTCTTTTGATTGGAGCATTTAGCCCACTTACATTTAAAGTAATTATTGAAAGGTATGTACTTATTGACATTTTGTTAATTGTTTCCTGGTTGTATTTGTAGTTCTTTTCTGTTCTTCTCTTGCTCTCTTCCCTTGTGATTTGATGGTTTTTTAGTGGTATATTTGGATTCTTTTCTCTCTCACTCTCTTTTTTTTTGTGAATCTATCATAGGTTTTTGGCTTGCAGTTTCCATGAGTTTCATATTTAACACCCAATGTACATAGCAGTCTATTTTAAGTTGATAGTCCCTTAAGTTCAAGCATATTCTAAAAGTCCTACATTTTTATTCTCCTTCCCCATATTTTGTGTATTTGTTGTCATAATTTACATTTTTTATTTTGTGTATCCCTTAGCTAATTACTGTAGATATAGTTGTTTTTACTATATTTTTTGGGAGGCAGAGGGAGATGGGGAGAGAGAGAATCTTAAGTAAGCTCCACACCTAACATGGAGCCCAACACAGATGGGGCTTTGCATTTAGATTATATAGCTACAAATAGTGCAGGCCTATAAAAATCATGTTATGAAACTAACAAAACAAAATTCCTTGAAAAGATGTGATTGGTGCTGTCAATCTATTATCTTCATTGCATTTTATCTTGAAACATCAAAATAATTTTAGAAAAAGACCTACTGGTTCACCTCGAGGCCCAGGTGGTCCTAGTACTGTGCTATCTTCTCCTGGATAACCCTGTAATGAAGATAATGATTTATAAACAAAACCAAATTAATAAAATAACCTTTGAACTATGCAGGCTATTACTGTCTAACACGTTATGAAATATACTATCTTTATCTATTTAAATGGAAAACTTTTACCTATAAAACTTAGCATAGGATATTTTATACAGGTGTGATTCCTATAGGTTCTAAGAAGTGTCAATCTGCTTTAATTACATAAAAGCAGTTTAGGAATTTGCTCGAAGTTTCAAGTTTGCAATGATATTGTAAGTCAACAGGAGTACTGTTGTAGTTATTCTTAATCCATAAAAAATTTTACTACAAATGTACCAGTTATTTAATCTGTAGTCTCACAATTTCTTTAATAAGTAATTAATTTTACTTTTACAAAGCTTTACAGATTGCAAAGTGCTTTAACATATATTATTTCATGAATATCTTGAGACAGCCGATTGAAGACATCTTAATGACTTGTTTACATTTATTTTTGTCTTTTATTATTTATCTTCTAGAATTTGCTGTACTTCCCAAGTTGAAAAGTGTTTCTTTTATTCTTTGAAAATGTTTCCATGCATATTTTCAGAAAGAACACAAAAATTTAATATTTAACTTTAGTATTAAAAAGTCAATATGCACACATACCTTTTCTCCTTTAGGTCCTGGCAACCCAGAAAGTCCTGGTTGACCCTGATGGCCCTAACAAAAGGACAAGTAAGCAGACATTCGCCATATAATTTGTGCATGTTCTACCTAATAACACCAAGGCCATCCTATTAGATATGGCAATATTCTGAATGAAAAACGAGATTTATTCTCTAGGCGGTTGAGGCCTAAATATATTAGAAAGGTTGTTATCAGTGAGATTTCATCTTAATTTGCATATTTGAGATGACATCTTTATATAACTATTTTCATGTAAATACATTTTAATTTCCAATTAGAAATGATTACCCTATATCCTGGAATTCCTGGTTCTCCATGAGGTCCCATCAATCCTAAGTGTCCCTAAAAAACAAAGCAAATATTAGAAAGAAAACAAACAACTGTTTAAACCATTAAACTTATACTCTTATTATTTATTTATTTAGTACTTTCATTACTTAAAATTTAGATTTTTTGAGGTATAATATTTTACTTAGTCTGAAATGGAAAAAACAAAAAATAACACTCTAACTTTTGTCTTATTTTTCTTCCGAACCACAAAAGTCCCACCAAAAACATGTCTCTGTAGTTTATTTCTGGTATGAATATTCTTAATCATATTAAGAAAAATATTTTCAGTTTGTTAGAATCTGATAGGTTTCTAGTAAGTTCTTGGAAATGTAGTTTGCACCTGTCAAAGTTTATGGTAGATGTGCATCACTGAATATTAGAATATAGTCTGATAGTTTTTCATATTGTCACAATGGGATCAAGGAGAACATATTCATTGATAGTTTCAGATGCTTTGATAAAGTTTCAGCTCTGGTCAAACTTGTTAAAATAGAAATGATTGACAACTTATATACAATAATCACCCTATTATTGCTTTTCTTATCGATAATTTGCAGATGAGGATACTATATAAATTAGGGCTAATTAATAAATGCCCCCAAAATACTGAAAATGTGACTCAGATAACTGAAAAGAGCAAAAATAATAATCCTAATAACGAATGTCTTATCTTTCATACTATTAAAAAGTTTCCACATCAACTCTCCTATTTGAGTTTGAAACTAAACAGGAGATGAGAAAATTAAGGCAGAGACTAGGTATATGCCTAACCAAATATCAAACTAGAAATTCTAAATATGATTATTTATCCAAAGAACCCATGAGAACCACCTATCATTAAAGTGGATATAAAGTAAAAATATTAAAGTAAATAGGTATCTTACACAGCATCAATAAGAAGATATAATGGGAAAAAGGACTGCATTATAAATCATAAAATCCGTAAGAAACTAACAATAAACCTAACAAGATAGAGGTAAGAACAGAATGAAGGAAATAACAAAACTTTATTAAAAGGTATATAAGAAGATATAAGTAAATGGAAAGACATATAGTGCTTCTCTACTGAAAGATTCAATATTAAAGAACTTAAAGAGCTGCTTTTAAAGTTCACATGGAAGAGAGAATTATGGTAAGAGATGAACTTTTTAGAGAAATGAAATATGGAGTACTTGCCCTGACAGATCTCAAAAAATACTGTAATAGTAAAATAATTTAAGTAGTGTGGTATTGGACCTAAAAACAGACTAACAGAGTGACAGAAGAAAACAGAGAGAATGAAAAAAGCCAATAAATATTTGAGAGTTTAGTTTATGGTAAGGGTAGTATTTCAGAAAAGTGGGAAATAGATTGACTATTAAATGATTTTGAGACAACTGAATATCAATTTGGAAAAGAGAAAATCAGTTCTTTACAACTTATTTCATAGCAAAGAAATAATTTTCATATAAGTTAGGGGTAAAAATAAAGCTATAAAAGTATTAGAAAGATATAGAAGAGTGTTTTTATATACTTTAGGTGGGAAAGGCATTTCTAATGAAGAAATAAAACCTAGAACTGTAAAGTAAAAAACTGACAAATTTGGCTATATAATTAACCTCTGTCCAGCAAAAGATATCACAAAAAATATTAAAAGATAAATGGTAGAAAGGGAAATGTATTTGTAATATATTTTATAACATATTTAACAAAATATATTATCTAAAATATATAAGGCATTATTGCAAGTCAATAAGAAAAAAACAACCTAATATAATCCATGTAAAGTACACATGAAAAGGCAATTTCCAGAAAAAAATACAAATTACTTAATTGCAATCAGGGAAATGTAAATAGAAAGAAAATGAGACACACTTATCAGATTGTAAAACATCGAAAGAGTCAATAGGAAGTATTGGTAGTGGGAGAGTGAATTTGATGAAACCTTTTGGGAAGGTTAAATATGTGTCAATATTCAAAAAGTGAATATTCTTTTTAAACAAAATCCAAAGTAGCAGCCTACTTTGATGGCAAGACTCCAGATTAATTCTGATGTTCATTAAAAATTAATCATATAAAGTACTTTAACATATAAGCCAAAAGCAGAGAAATAGTAATAATTTAAATAAAAGGAAGTAAGAAAGACCTGAAGTAGTAAGATGAATATGTAAACAGAGCCTGAAACAAACTTTCCTCAGACAACAGATGGATTATGCAATGCTCTCAAGAAGGCGTTGGTAAAAAGTCTAGCATTTGTGACATTTAATGGAGAGTAGGAAAGATACATGCATTTTGTATATAAGCTTATGAAACAGTGAAAACACTAAACACTAAATCACAAATATTCTGCATCTCTTGTGCTAGGACTTTCTGAACTGGTCCAATATATTAGCAATAAAATTTTGCTATTATAGGTTCAGAGGTATTATGCGACCCTTGCTTCCAACATCATATAAAATTCATGCAAAAGATTAAATATTAGATGTTACGGATATTGATCACAGCTGGTTAAAAAAATCTCCAGATAAGCATGTGGAGTCCAAGCTTATAAATAAAACCTTTAAATAAATCTAATTTTCAAAGCAATTTGCCAATCCCGACAGTGTAGTTTTATACAGATATTAAATTCTGACTTTAAGTGCAAAGAATATAAACTTTCTTACTTAGGTTAGGAGTTATAATCTGATTTTTTTAGAACTTCATTTCGTATTTTATTTCCATTTTGAGCTTTTTTTTTCCCCTCTCCCTTTTCCATGTCCAGAAACCACTAAGCCATTTAAGTACTGTGGAATGCTTACAATTCTCCACAGCCCATGGAGGTAGATTATTTTCAATGGAACTATTGCTTTCTCTGTAAAATTAATCAAGGGATGAAACTTTAAGGACATGGATACATTTCTTTTCCATCCACAGTGAACTCAGGTCTGGAAACAAATCAAATACTAACCACAGCACCTCTAGTTCCTCTGGCACCCTTAGGACCACTTTCCCCATTTTGTCCAGGAGCACCTCTGCTTCCAATTTCTCCTGTGTGCCCTGTTTGTCCTTTATCACCCTGTGGATGTCATTAATAAGAGAGAAAATGCCTTTTAAAAACAATACTTGGAAAGACACCAGAGGATATTCTGTAAGCAAAATTCTGTAAATAGTAACTTTGCTTTAATTTAATAGTAGTAGAGACCATCACTGATAATAAGAAACCATCACCACCTAGGTTAACCTAAAGATATAACTAAAAGTAATTTAGGAGAAAGAACATTTAAAAAATAATTTTGGCCTAACAAGCAGGGGAGATTTGGTGTTCTTGCTGAATTACAATATAACCAAGATTTTTATTTTGAAAGTTGTTATGTATGTATGTTTGCATGCATGCACGTATTTCTTGTCATCATGAGAAAACACAGGCCCTATGAGAAGCCTGTTTCTATAGACAACTTCAATGCCACAAAGATCTATTTAATGCAAAAAGGTTCCAGTGTATGGTTCTGTATATTCAGAATCATCACTCACTGGTTTGGAGTCTGCCTTTAAAAATCCATAACATTTTTTTTAATCGATAATATTTTTATATCATTTTGCATCCTTTAAAAAACTAGTTAGTTGCCTTCTGTTTTCCATCAAGCTGACTGATCATTCTCTACCACCAAAATACAGCTTCTTTGAAGCAACTTTAAGTACTATAATTCGTTTTCTGAAAGTGGGAACCAACCTGTTCTATAATTGATATTCAAGTAGATACAAAGAAAAACTAGACTGTGATCATAGGCAGGAAGTTTTTGGTATTCATAATAATTCCCAGGGGTGCAGGTTATTGTAAGGACTTATACTGTCCCACTTCTAATGTTGATTTTAGATATAACATTATGTATGATGAAAAGAGACTTCAATATTGGGGTTATTTTCATGGGCAAGAATAGCTACTAAATATTTAAGTGATGAATCACTGAATTCTACTCCTGCAACTAATATTATACTTTATCTTAACTAACTAGATTTAAATAAAAACTTGAAACATTAAAAAAAAAAGAATGGCTACTAAAATTTACCTCATTAATTTTTCTTTACCTTCTATTCTCACTTATACTGTCCCTACATCATGACAAAGATGGAGTGGGTGTATATTAGTAGAAATGATAAAATTAGACTTTGGGGACTAGATATGGTATGATTTGAAGCTAAATACAGTAATATATTCAGAACTGTTGTGGTAGAATTAAGAAAATCATTTCTGTCTCACCAATACTTGAATAAATTACTGACCCCATACAAAGATGAATTTTTCATTATAACATTCTAGAATTTTATAAATATATCATTTTTTAGTAAAATATAAAAGAAACAAATAAACCACATTCTTTATTTGTGTTTCTTAGCCCATATATGGGAAAAATAAAATCAATCATTAACCTTTTCAATTTAGATAAACATAGTACAAATAAACACAGAAACAATTCTAGTCATATTCCTTTCCCCTAACCATTTTACTAAAGTTGTTACCAAATACCACAAATGGTATGATGTTTTCCTTTTCTCTCTTTTCCTGCCCATATTCTACTAAAGAATTTTTGGCAAACAGGAAAAAGGAAAGGCAAAGATCTTTATACAAACTACAAAGTAGGAAATTTGCCTTTAAATAATTAAGGTGATGGGTACTCCTAAGTAGAGTTAAATATTAACTTACACAAAAATTCCTTTTAAAAACAATTTATAGTACTTTATTACTTTATATCTAGTGCAAATAAAAACATCACAACATCTTATGGAGCTCGGGGCACATCAGAAGAAAGATGTACCATAAAAAGATGTAAAAAAAAAAAATGTAAAAAAAAAAACAACATAAAAAGATGTTAAAAAAAAATTACCTTTTTCCCTGGACGACCTCTTTGTCCTGGAATTCCCACAATTCCTTCAGTTCCCTGGATATCCAATATAAAAAAGAAAATAAACTGTTAAGGAAAGGACTAAATGGAGTGTTTAAATACTTACATCACATAACCACTGCATTGAACACTATGTAAAAATGAGGATTACTTTTCAACAATAAATATTGTTTGAATATTTATTTATTTTTAAAGATTTTATTTATTTTAGAGAGTGCGTGCACGAGTCGGGAGAGGGGAAGAGAGATAGGGAGAGAATCTCAAGCAGATTCTGCACCAAGCACCTAGCCCCACATGGGCTCCCCTGAGATCATGACCTGAGCCAAAACCTAGAGTCCGAGGCTCAACCAACTGAGCCACCCAGGTGCCCCTGTGTAATTGTTTAAAAATACGTCACAATGATTTAGAGGTCTAGCTGTTACTAGTGAGTAAAATTTACATATAGAAATCAGCCAAGATAGATAAAATTAAACTGTTCTTTATTAGAGGAAAAAAATTACTTGGTTTCAGTGTAACCCATTTTAATTGGTGAGAAAAGTAAATCCAGTGCATCCGTTTTAGCAGTTCTATGAGCTACTGTGGGTTCAACATCTTGTTGATGGTATAGGATTATAAAATATATCTAAAACATGGTCAAGAAGAATCTCAAAATCTTATTGGAGTAGATTAGGAGATTTTCTTTAGTCTGTGGAAAAAAGGAGAGAGGGAAATACATGGAGAAAAAGGAGGTAGCCATATTAAACTGTTTAAAACAATATTTTCATTTCAATCTGTATTTTGTTTAGACAGAAATTTTTAATATATACTTTTTTAAAGTAAAAACTGGCTAAAGTATTTCAGATGTCATGTGAATTTGCAGGTCAACAATAATTAGGCTTAAATGAGATCCACAGTAAGCCAGAGGATGCAAGTTCTAAAATGGCTAAGAATTAATCACAGCACTCCTTGCATTAGTTGGAAATGAAAATGGAAATCTCAAATTTGTGTCCCAAAGCTTGGCAAACGGCAAAAATGACGTAGACAAGAAATAAATTGCGGTTTACCACTGTGCTATGTGGGCTCTTGATAAATATTTGTTGAACGAATAAACAGATACCTAAGGAAGTGACTCATACCCTATGTTCCTGAGCAAATGCTCTTCTAGCCTCAGAAAGTCACTGAATTTAGAAGCCAAAATGGGTTAAGTTCTATTGCTGTGGTTCTAGCTGCATCCAGAGGTTGAAATGATAGTTGCACTAACCCGAGATTTCTTTGTGGTTAATGTGGAGTTTTAAAAAGAGGCAGATTAACCTTCATCAGAGGTTAATAGTGTGAACTTTTAAAAGTTAGGCTGCTCGTTTCATATTCTGGCTCTGTACCTTACTGCAATAGGACCATAAGTAGATTATTTAACTTCTAAAGGCCCCAGTTTCCCATTAATATAAAAGAGGTAAAATAATACCTTTTCAAAAGGTTACTAAGATTAAATGAGATAATGCATGAAATGCTTAGAAAGAACTGCACTTATACTGAAGAACTTAGCTCAGTGTTAGTTCTCACTAACTACTGTTGCCTTTTTAAGGTGTATTATGTAATATTTAAATATATATGAAAAGATATTAGAAGGTACAATCAATACCCATGTACCCACCACCTACTTGAAGAAAAAGAAGCAATATACATATGTACATACTTGAAGTCCCTTTACACATACCTGTCCAAACGCGTTACCCTCTCTCTTCACTCAGGTGCAACCATTGCCCGCAATTTGTTTATCATTCCCATGCATTTCTTTATACTTTTACTCCATTTGAAATATATGGTTATTCTGCATCTTTTCAAACTTGAAATAAGCGTACTTTATGTATTCTTTTGAAACTTTCTAAACACACATTTTGTTTTTGAAATTAATCAATGTCTTTAATCCATTCACTTTGTTTTTAATTCTACAGGTTTCCATTTTCTTATCACAACTTATTTAAACACTTTCCTACTGATGAGTTTTTGGTGTGGGTTTTTTTTTTTCTGTTATAGGTAATGTGCTGCAATAAATACCTTGTGCATCCCTCTATGTGCCATGTCAGTTTTGTTTGTTTGCTTGTTTTTTTTGTTTTTTAGGGTATAGCCCCTGAAGTTAAATTGCTGAGTTATAAAATACGTGCATCATCAAGTAGACAAGATATTGTCAAATTGTTCTCCGAAGTAGCTTTGTCAATTTACACTTCCACAGCAATGTTTGAGTCCAATTACTCCAAATCTTCTGTAATGCTTGGTACTATCAGACTTAAAATATATCCATCTCATTATGGAAAATGACATACTGTTGTGTTTTCAATTTGCATATTTCTGATTACTAAGGAGGAATGATTATCTGTTCATATAGTTATCTGGCATCTATATGTGAATCTCTGGCTCTTATCTTCTGTCCAGTATTCTCCTGAGTTATTCTTACTGAGTTATACATAAAAGGTTTTTTTTTTAATTATGTTATGTTAATCACCACACATTACATCATTAGTTTTTGATGTAGTGTTCCATGATTCATTGTTTGCATATAACACCCACTGCTCCATTCAGTACGTGCCCTTAAAAGTTTTTATACATATTCCTGATACTTGTATTTTGCTCATTCTATATAACACAGATCTCTTCTCTCAGCCTGCAGCTTATTTTCTCACTTTGTTTAACATAACTTTTGATTAATACAAGTTTGCAGTTTTAACGTAGTCATATTCATCAATATTTTCTTATTTCTTTCACTGTTTAGGAGATCCTTCTCCTCTCCCTCAGGTGTTCATGAAATATTCCCATAAATGTTCTCATATTTAACATTTTGATTTTCACAGTTAGGTCTTCAATTGGAATTTCATTCTTCTGTGTGTGTGCACATTTGTGTGAAGGAGCTGTTTTATTTTGTTTTCCATTTGGATAACCAACTGTACCAGTACCATTTATTGAATATTTCATCCTTTCCTTAATGATTTGAAATCTATAATCGATTTATCAAACTTCAAGTTTCAAAATATGCTGGGATCTCAGTCTAGGTTATCTTCTATTTCCACTGGTCTCTTCCTGTGAATGAGTATGACACTGACCAAATTACTCTAGCTTTAATTATAAGTTATGATATCAGGTAGGGCAAGTCCTCTCTTCCACACACTGCTGTGCTCCCACCCCCTGCAACTTGTTCTTGAAAACTGTCTTGATATTGGCCCTTCGTTCTTCCACATTCCTTTTAAAATCACTTTTCATGAATCATGTCCTATAAAAAATTCTTATGAGGATTTAGACTAAAATTATACTGGATTTATAGACTACTTTAGGGGAGAGATGATAATTTTTTGATACTGAGTCATCCTATCCACGAATATAAAATCTCTCTCCATTTATTTAGGTCTTTGTTAATAAACATATTTTTTTCAATAAAATTTTGCAAATCTTTGGTTAGATTTATTCCTAGGTGCTTAATTTTGTTGTTGATTGTATTGTAAATAGTATTTTTTCAAGTTTTCTAACTGCTTGTTGCTGGGGAAGAAGAATGGAATCTATATTTTTGCATATTCTTATATTTAGCATCTTGCTAAAATCTCATTAATTTTAATAATTGATCTGTAGATTATTTCTCTTGTTTTATTACACTGGCTGGGTCTCTGAGTAAATGTTGAAGAGAAATAGTGAATAGTGGTGATCTTTGCTCATTTCTTCGAAGTTTCACCATTACGTAGGACAGTCAATATGGATATTAAATCTTTAGAAATACCTTTTGTTTCATCTATTGAGATTATATGTTTTCTTTCTTTAATTTGTAGTTATGTGACTTAAACTTAAAGTCCTTCAAAATGTTAGGCTTTTGTTGCAATACTTGTATGAGAGGGAATTCATAAACCCTTTTCTTATATCAGCACTCCATAACTGCACTGAACTCAAATATTCAGGTGTCAGCTGACACTACTGTGTGGAAATGCTATCTGCCAACCAATAATGCAGTTTAAGTATCATCGTGTTTATATATTTAAATATTAATAAAAATTTGTGGATAAAGTAAAAATGTGACAAATTTAAGTCTCACAAATGTGTATAATTGAGAAATTTGTTATTATTCTGCAAGATGGCTTGCACCTTCTTCAAACTTCCATTCTCACCTCATTTTCAAGTTAATAACCTTGCCTCATACTGCACTGAGGCCAGCAGCAATCAAGCAAGAGCCATCTCTTCCCAACACCCAACCTACCAGCACACCTCCTTATATACGCACATATTGTTCCCCTTTTCTGACGAAGGAAGAAGTTTCCCTGTTTCTTCTCTGAGGCCAGCTCCTCACTTGCATCTAAACCCCATGTCCTTTTCAAGGCCTTCTCCTACACTTGCACTATCAATTTTTTTCTCTTAAATGAATCACTTCCAACAGCAATTAAATATGCCAGATAGCACTCATTTGAGAAAAATCCTTCCTTGACCTCATGTCCCTCCCTCCCTTTCTATTCACTCATTCAATTTCTCATGTACTTTTCTAGTTCCATTTTTGCTTCCCCATCATAGCAAAGCATTTCGAAAGATTTGTGTATGCTCATTGTCACTATTTCCTTACTTCTCATTCTGTCTTCATTTGGGCTTTTGTTCTTACCACAACTCTGAAATTGCTTCCTTTCGGACAACTGACCTTCAAATAGCCAAATCCAACAATCCAATGGCTCATTTTATCTGAAACTGTTTTCCATTCTTGCAACTTTTTAAAACTTTTGTTTACATGGCAGCATGCTTCTCAAATTTTCTACGTACTTAAAGCATCTCTTTATCTCCTTATAGCCTAATGATTCCTAAAGTTATGTCACCTGTCCTGACTGCACCAGTGACCTTCTGATTTTCCCACCTATTGACATCTTTTTGAATTTCTAATAGGCATTTCAAACTTTATGTTTCCCAAACTGAGCCTTGAATTCCCTCTTCAAACCCCTAAACCTTGTCTCTCCTTGTCTTCCCCATCTCTGCTGTAATGGGGCAATATTTTGAAAATCATTAAAATTGCTTTTCTATTTTGCCTTTTTGAATATATAGAC